CAAGAAAGAAACCCAGAGAAGCTGCAGGAAGCCCCCCCCACCAAGCCACTACATTCCCAAACAGTCCCGAAACACCAGCACACAAAGCCCCACCTCCGCTTCCTGCAGCCCATTTGGGATGCGGTCAGCATCGCCTTAAACACCCCCGGAGTCTTCTCACCCCACCCCGTTCCTTGCCGCAGCTTCAGCCTCGCCTGCTTCATTCAACACCCCCGAGCACACGAGGAGCACATCACCCCCTCAGCGCGCGGTTTCCTGCCGGCCGTCTGCCTCTTCCCACCCTGTCCCGAGCTAATCCTGGCTCACCAACAGTCTTCAGGTCCCCAGCAGCAGCCGCTGGGATTTTGGTTGGTTGTTTTTTTTTTTTTCCTCCCGAATAACAAGTTCATGTGAAATGGAAATGTCAGAGCTGTGACAGCCATTCACACCAAGTCCTCTGCAACCAGAACTGTATCTTGGCATCTCCTGTAGCCGTTTGCCACTTGGTATAAAGCCCAGCGAGGGGTGGGGGGACAGGGTGGTCTTGCCTGTCGCCCCATACCAGCCGCTCTAGACAGCGCCCTGCAGCAGCCCTTTGGGCTCAGAGCCTTGTCTCGGCCCTGTGACTGCTCTGACGTTAGTTCTGTACGGGGAAACGCAGCCCACGTCCACACGATTTTGAACACGCACCCGTCCAGGTACCGCAGCCGCTCCTGCTGTCCCACACCTGGTGTTTAGCTGTCGCCCGCTGACCCCCCGTGAAGACGCCCCTGAGGCCGGCAGCCTGCTCACACCGATGTTCTGCAGAAACGAGCAGACATGTTTATTAGACTGTGGTGCTGCTTTTCTATCAGACAGGAAAGTGCACCCGGGTACAAATGGAAAATGGTAAAATTAGAAGGAAAAAAAAATCTGCATTTATCTGCAGAAAAATAATCCGATCAAGCCAGATACCCATTACATAGCAAAGCCCTCTGTATGATGCAATATGTATCCGCCTGGTGGTGTAAAGTAAAATGCTGAGGATGCAGAAATTTAAACTCTGTGCGTGAAACCCGTAGGAAAAACCAACCTCCATAAGTCCCTTACTCGTACTCCAGGTAGCCCCTGATTTAACACTGCTCGAGGGAGCTCCTCCCATATCTGAGATGTTTGAAAAATCGGCAAACGAGTGATCTTCATTCTTTTCCCTGTTGGACACTTGACACAATCAAGAGTTGGTGCACAAAACAAACCGCGCGCCGCGACCGGTTTGAACCTGCCGCTGCAGCCTGAACATGAAAGCACAGAGCATACGCGTCGCACGCAGCGGGGCTGGGGACGTAACCATCCTCTCTCTCTCTCTTTTTCCAGGCTTTGTACAAACTGTACAGCGCAGCAGCGACTCACAGACATTTGTACCACCACGCCTTCCCTGCACAGAAAGCGGAACCCGCCGAGGGCTCCGAGAGGAAGAAGGTGTAAGCCAGGCGTGTTCCCGTCGATGCATGAACGAGGCGCGGACGTCTCATCCTCGGTTCAACATTCCCGTCCTCGTACCCGTCACAAGCTCCTGCCGTGGAACAGGGAGAGCGGAGAACAAGCCACGTGTAAGGTGGTTCGGTGTGTTCGTTCGACAACACGGTGTTTTGACGGGAAGGTGTCGGCATGTTTTTCGTTTTGTTGATATGTACATATTGGTACTGCCGCAAATACAAAGTGCTTTTTATTTGTAATAGCCAGCATACTTCCCAGCTAATTTATGAAGCCTTATTTTCCCTGTAATTAGTTATGGAGTCACTGAAGAAATCATAATTTACATGATACCGCAACTAAAAATCTTCCAAACCTTAGCTTATTCAAAAGCCAACTTATTTTCAGATAGTTGAACAAGTTATAACGTGTAACCAAGTTTTTTCTTCAATTAACTATTTCATTACATAAACATAATTAAAAATGTATTAACTTGCTTTATCAGAAACTGTAAGGGCCCTTCTGCTATGGTATGTAATGATCTTGTACGGAAAGCATACTTTTTTGTTCGTAACCAATGCACAAAGTATCACTTTGTATATGTATTGGAGAAAGTTTCGCCGTATTTCTGTATATATATTCATTATAGTGCATAAAAAGTGTGTTCAACAGTTCTATTCTTTTATCGTCAGAACTATTAAAGTTTGCTTTCGGTTCCTAAGCAGTTGGTTATACAGGAAGCAGTTATTGACTAGCAAGGCAAAAGCTTCTCCTCTTGGGTTTTTTTTACCTTTTTGGTTTCCTTTTGGCCCTCGGAATTGGTGTGTTAATGGTAAGTTGGTATTTTGAAAATACTCCAGCCCGTCTCCTGCCCAGGTGTGACCTCTGGGAGGTGCTTCTGTCCCTAAGAAGGTAAAGCCAGGTCTTACAAGTCTTGGGCAAAATAAAGTCTCCAGCTTTTAACAGCAGAGGAAAAGCTGCTGAAGTGCAGCAAGGCCAAAGCTGAGGGTCCGCGCTCGGGTCTACAGCCCTCGAGGGACAGCGCCAGGTACAACGCTCACCTCACCGTCTCGATCCGAAGAGCAGACGTGTTTCATGGTACAGAAGTTGATGCCTAGGGCTGAGCTGTCACCGCTGCAGGCAGTCGCAGTGAGTCGGCACAGCGCGCTCGCAGGGCCCGCGGTTGGGTTTAGAGGACGGCGTCGACCGCAACAGCGGCTTTATCCCCCCTGGGCCTGGTGCACCAGGAACACCCTCCTCACCGTGGGCCCCACGGCAGAGCCAGAGCGCAGCTCCACGCCGGGCACTCGCCCCGTCGCTGCACCGGCGCAGCCGAGCTCAGGGCATCGGAACTGCGCTTGCCCTTGGAGAACACGAGCTACTGGTTTTCACCACCCCTGATCAGATCTTTTTACTGGTTATAAGAACATTTTACTTGACGTTTCTGAAAGGCAAAAAAATCAGTTGAACAACCCTTCATTCATTAAACAAAATGATTTTTATTGAATTAATAGGATTTACAAGAAATGTATTTTTTTTGTCTGCAACAATGTTTATTGCACTAGAAAGAATCCATAAATAACATTTCAGGACAATCAATGAACCAAATGAAAATATTGGAGAGGGTAACTGTACAACTAAAAATTTTCCCCAAGTAAGGAAGCTTTAATACAAGACAAAAGCTCGTTACAAAAAAAAAGTAATTGTTGTGACATCCCTGATATTTTCCATGGTGTGGTACAGCTGGCTGGTAAAGCTGGTCAGACAATGCTATCACCTTCCCACGTGACTGGGTCATGGTTTACAAAATGCAGTTTACCTAGCAGTTAAGAACCTGTGAAAAGTTTGCGTAGAGATCTTGGTCTTCAAGAAGGTACAAGTGTTTCCCCTCTGACTAATTTCTGTGAAAACTAGTAGTAAATCTAAAGTAGTAATGCGTTAAAGTAAAAAATAAGGCAACTCAGGCTTCACTTTCATGAAGCACTTGGCGTCGACTGACGAAATCCGCTTCTGTCTGGTTATAGCACTGGGTGTTATTGAAAAGTAACAGTGTCGGTGTTCTGTACATTAAAGCTGTAAACAAGGAGCAGACCTCTCTCCAGAGAGGGAGAGGAAGCCCCGAGGGAAATACACGGAAATACTCATTTGGATTTTAACAATGTTTTGAATGCAGGACATTTCGTACAGTTGCATCTATTGCCCTTTAAAAATATATAGTCAGCTTCTTAATAATACAGCTGACTGCTAGAAAAAGATACCAGGATCAAGTCTCTGATTAAACTCCACGCTGGTTTTCAGAATAATAAACTAGTTCCTGTATGGAAAAAGATTAACAAACATTTTTCATTTTTATAAACAACACATAATACATGTAGAAAAATATTAAAGAGGATAATAACAAAGGTGCAACATCAACAAAAATAAGCTGCCTTTTCAACAAAAGCACTTTTTCATAGTTTTAAGTGTGAAAACCTTTTAAAGCTCTTAGTGTCCTCATAAAAGTCTATTAAAAAGAGTCGTTAGCTTAAAAATTCTTGCCGTGCTGCTGGGCATACCACTGCTGCCTCTGCTTGCGGTGCTCCAGCTCGGTGAGGAGGGCCTGCCTGTATGCTTCGTACAGCTTAACGATCCGTTCCAGTTCTTTCATGAAGAGCAGCTTCAGCATCCCCTGGTACGTGTCCAGGTCCGCCAGCTGGAAGAGCTCCCACTTCAGAATGTGATCGTACCTGTTGTGATAGAGAAGATGGTTATCTACACGCCACTGCGAGCAACTACACCGCATTTTGTGCATTTTCTTAATAACTGGCCTCACAGGTGTACAGCCACCGGTCAGATTTCTAGCAATCTACATTAGTATGTTTTATGTGAAGAAATAAGGTCATTAACACCAAAAGACATGGAGCCGTGTCTCAAAGTGAGCTGGAGAAACATCTCTTACAGCTAAACTGCAGAATCACTCATAATATGCCAAGATAAACTCTAGAAATACTAAAGATCCTATTAACTGATTATAAAAATCCAATGGAGAAAACGCATTTTGGAAGCATTAAAACAGCAACTCCATTCAACAAGCCTTGAAGATTTAGTAGTAAAACATCTTTTAAAATCAGAGTAACACAGCAAAAAATGAATTATTTCAACAGCTTACCCTAACACTCCCCAGCAAGTACCTCCCAGAAGACAGAATACTGCAAGTCTTCCCTCACAACACACCTTTGTTTCCAAAGCATCCTTGTTCCAGCCTTAACAAGCACTCTTGGACACTGTCCCCTGCTTGGTTAATTAGCAGCGATGACCTAAGTCAGTGTGTCTCAAACCGCAGGTCATGAACCCCACAGGACCACGAAAGGGCGTATTAGACAGCATCAGTGAGGACTGAGGGAGGAGGAAATCCAATTAGGCCATAATTAACAGCTGCAAGTACTCACACCAGCAAGGGACATCCTAACCGCCCGCAGCCATCAGCAGCAATCTATCCGCTAGGGGGGGAGCGGGGTGGGTGTCAGGGGAGCGATGCAAGCACTAACAGCTAAAAATCCTACATGTTCTTACTCCCCACGCTGGAAAAAATGAGCTGCTGTGGACCTGGGGAGGTGCCCTGGAGACATGTGCCAAGAGCCTGAAACACACTGGTGCCACCCCAAATTCCTTTAGGAATATCTGATCTCTCTCCCCGCGGGAGATGGAAACAAACACAGCTGTGAAGTCAACCAGTTACTGTTGTATTTCTTCCCACTTCCACCAGTTACAAGTTGTTGGTTGAGCAAGGCAAAACATAGCAGCCCGGGTCACCGAAGCGCCATCCGCACTGTCCACGCTTTTACCTTGAGGAGGGAAATGGACGCTAGTCAGCAGCGCAAAACGTGAAAGCTCATAAAGAAAATACCCACAGGTGCAAGGAGGAGGCTCACACAGACCGGCTGTGTTAGGAGCCACGCTCATCGCCCTCCACGACGGAGGGCGGAGTACATGAAAACAAACCGCAAAGAAAAGCAGAAGCATAACATCAATCCACAAGATGGGAGAAATGATGTGCAAGGAAAGCTGCTGGGCGTCACTAACCACTGCAAACACTGCTGGGTTAACGAGCTGCTGGCAAAGTACATTTCGCCTTTCATTCAGTAGGTCTTCTCCTCTCCTGCTCAACATGCAGCACTGCTTTTCTTACAAAATCTGCCTTTTTTTTTTATTTTTACTGTTTAATACGGAGCAATTCTGAATTTCTGTTTATACTTCTAACACTTTTTTCAACTTCTGAAACATATAAACACGCCCCTACGTTCAGACCTTTGGGATACCAAAGCTGCTGCCATTGGATAGGGACAAACTTAACGTAAGTCGAGCCTCTTCAAGCCTCCCTTGTTTCACTAGCGGAGCTGAAGACGTTTCCTGAAGACTGCATTTTATGTCATAACTGCCAAACTCTTGTGACTAATCAAGGCTATGCCTTTTCTCCTGCAAGTACTTTTCCCACAATCAAAACTGGCACTCTAAGGTCTGCACAGGAGCTAGGTTGCTGGTCAAACGAAGTCCAGTTTCATAATGGAGGTCTGCTCAAATCATACGTTGCTTTCATGCCACAAATTCTTCAAAGCTAGTGCTGACAGTCTTTTATACCAAACACATGGTTCAACAATCCCTAAATTTAATGTCTAGAATATTTACCTTTTTATATAAGCTACACAAACTATCCAACCTTGTTGAAGTGAGAAAGTACCAGAATAAAGGCTGCACCTGTGAACACATTTCACCTGTTCGCAAGTCTGCAGTGGGAATGGTTAAACACACGTCCATACGCTGTGTTTTCCACCACACTGTGCGTTTCTATCGGTCTCTCTTTAGCCGCCACCAGAGCAAACTCTATGGCGGTCGGATTGCCTCTGAAATCCCCACCTCTATCTTCCCTTCAAGAAAGGAAGCGTTTTTCTTCATTACCTTTTTTAAATGGACCCCTTTTTGTGCCAGTAGTAGGGGAAGGTTTCCAAGATCCTGGTATAAAAAGCAGTATTTCTAACAAAGTTTTTCAACAAAATCATGGTAATTCCACAGAGATCGGATTAAAGCTCTCTGGCTCATGGCCAGATGTCCAGTACCACCACCACATCCCATGGGGCCAACAGCTGGAGGATGGTATTAAGCAGGAGATGCTGGCATTCAGGATGTTCCTCAAGGACACTGGGCCAACAGCAAGACAACTTTGTTTCGGTGAGCAGCGTACAGTGCGTTAGTTCAGGCTCCGAAGCCCACGTGGCCAAACGGTTACTGACCGGGATCTGGCTCATGTCAGCGCGTCAGTCCAGCGTTAAGAGCCCACAGTGCAGACCTACCCTCGTATGCTTAAATAAAGTAGTACAAGGACTTCAAATAGCTAGATAGATACCGAAGCTTAAAATAAACAGGCTGTTCTCTTTGATGGTCTCCTTCCACCTCAGCATGATGACTGGAGAAGTCTGGCAGGGTGACGTGAGCTAGCAGCCATGAAGAGACCTGCCGGGTTCAGGAACAGACACGCTTCCCAAGGCTCGGAGGGAGCAAGGGACACGGAAACAACGTGTGACACAGCTGTAAGCACAGTTCTCATTAGTGGGAATACCTGGGCTAACCTGAGTCTACCTAAACTTGAGGAGACCTGTGTGAGAGAACTTCAGGAATATCCCCCCAAAATGAGCAGGGGCGCTAATGCTGCCCCTGCTAAGGGGACCTGAGCAGCACGGAGCGTCCTGGCATGGGCCCGGCCAGCTCCGGGAACAGGACAAGCCGCAGAGTTTCCTAAGCAAGGTGAGGAAACAGCAATTCCCCAACCCAGTTTTAATCTTGATTTTGTCTGATCTGAGCCTTGCTCTGCAGTAGGCATTTTAATGCTACTTTATTTTGATAAAGGAAAGCCGTGATGTAGTTACATCATCACTGCAATACCCCTAATTTCCTGCTTTTTCCCAGTGCTTCTAAACACATACAATTCCTTTGCAATCTAATTTTCTTAACTTGGAAACAGGCAGCTGATTACTATTAGTTATTAAAAGAATAGAAGAAACTCATGGAATAAACAGAGTTATTTGATCCAACTGAATTACATGAGAAAATATATTCACTTTGTGGAGGCTGAAGCCAAAATACCAATAAATTTAGGCAAATAAACTACATTACATATTGAAAAGATATATTCAGAAGGCTGTACGCATCAGAGAAGCACCAAGACATGCAGATGACTACCAAAGATGCTTTTGAGGAACGTTAAGAACTTAAATAACCACAGCTTCTATAAACTTCCTAAATAACAGCTTCTATATTCAAGTTATCCCAAGTCTTGACAGGGCTGCACTGCTAAAATCACTTTTCCCCCAAAGCGAGAGAAAACAAATTGCAGCTGTTTGTCAATATGGAGATCCAACTCCGAAGAGAGGCAGGCTGCAAGCTGCTGCTTTTGAAGGTTTGCCAAATACAACTATCTTTGTAAGCACTTGACCATTGAGTTTAAGTGGACAACACCTTTCCATCTCTGCTCCTTTCCCACTCGTCATGAACTGAATTCAGTTGCAGCAGGATTTCCCCTGGCTCGCCCTGCGCTGATGCATCCTTTCAAATGTTCTGGGCCAGTGGCATTTATTAAAATACACTCCACAGCAAGGCCGATTCTCAATGGAAGGACTGTTTCTTATTAAGGTGGCAATACCAGCGGGAAAGAAAACAAAGCTCCATCACGTGCAATCATGTGTTTGCAGGTTTTCAGGGGCCTGTAGCTTTTCTTTTTTTAATTATTTTTTTTTTTAAAAGCGTTATCACAGATTGCTAAAACTTTGGTTCTTTAGCTCTTTGAAGCTGTCACTGTTGACAGTTTCTCAAGAAAAGCAGCACATCAGGATTACTTTTCAGTGTGAGAGTTTCATTTCGCCTGCCAAGAGCACAGTTGAATGGGGGAAGAAGTCTGATTAAAGATTAAGCCATCAGCAGTGCCTCAATGGGAACGGGCTCATTCAAACCCAAAAGATCGTAGGTCTAGGAATACTCACCACAGAGGTGCCTAGAGGAACAGGGCACAGAGTACCAGTACCTCACCTAGACTCCCCAGGCATTTTTCAGAAGGGCAACTAGTCACAGAGCCAGAAATCGAGGGGAGAAAGCACGTTAGTACAAAATTCCTGCAGAGCGTAGAGCCTTCCCTCCTGGGTGAGAAAGCAGGAGCTTACTAGACAGAACATGCAGCCAGAATACCCTGTCTCCAGGGCTTTTCCCAGTAGATAGCAAGTATTCAATATAAAATAGGACACTTTTCAACACAAGAGACACTGACCTGCCCCAAATATTCACAGCCTATTGGTTAGGGCTGGAAGAAGAAAGACCTGGGTTCAGATCCTTGCTCCAAAAGAGGTGGGGGAAGCATCTGAACCATGACCTCTCATACAAGGAAGGCATTTTTGGTCTCCTCACCCTCAGAGTCTCACCCATGTGGTCTGGCACACTGTGGGAACACCTACCAGATTGGTCTATCTAACCTGGCAGGTGGAGAAACATTCAACTTTAGAGTCTAGCAAAGGGTTAAATGCAAGCCAGAAGTCTTGATTCCACTGTGCTAAGATTCTGATAGCTGCAGTTAAGCTCTCAAGACAAACCTTGATAGTTGCCAGGAGAGAGGGGAAAAGGACACTTCAAGGTATCATAAATACCTTGATATTGGAAATCATTACCTCAAGTTGTAACTAGTCATCAAAGCCTCTCCACTGTTCAGTGAACCGAGTATCTTCTTTTTTATCTTAACAGTTTGACCATTTTTCACTACAATAGGGAAGCATTATGGCTAACACCTACTAAACTCTCCAGTGGCCAGAATTCTTATCCTTTAGAGAAATTTGTTGAAACAAAAGCTAACATTATCTATTTTTGCTATTATCTGCTTTTCTCAACAAAAATGACTGGCCTTTAGTCAGCTAAATCAAGCCAGTGTCAGGTGTAAGTAACAAATCATAACAAAATATACCACAATGATTTCAGTGCAAAACTGTACTGATAATCAACAGATTTTTACAGTAAATTTCAAATAGCAGATCACGAAAGGTATTCCTCTACTACTACTATGAAAGCGTTTTGCCCACTCACTTTCATTTTCGCACCAGAACACAGGAGGATATTGCAAACAGTTCTCATACTCGGCTTCTGGAAAATACTACTGAAGAACTGAAGCATTACTAGATGTTTTTCTCAAGCTTTAAGCCAGTTGCTTTGGCAACAGAGAAAAGGTTCATTATTAAAATTACATTGAAAATATGTAAGTGATATTGACTTTAATAACTGAAAATTATTTATCAATTGTTTAAGAAGTCCTCAAGATGAGGTGACACTAAGCCAGCTGCTACCACTCTTTCTCACTTTTCCAATATAGTATTAGCATAAACCAGAATTTACTTCTGCACAGAAGTGTTTGAGAATTATGACAACATTCCTATTACCACCAGCACTACTTTAACAGAGGGCTAAAAGGATACTGGGAAATACACAATTTTTGATTCCTCTGAACAATGTAAATTCTATTCAAACAGCTCAAATGAATTAAATGTTTTGGTTTTGTGTTTTTTTTCTTCTTCTGATTTGTCTCAGCCTTCTAGATAAAAAGAAATTCCTGATAATCTTAAATTGTTTCAATTGTCTTAAATTTGTTTCTCGAGTTTCAAGTGAAGTACCAACAAGAGTCCATACAACACAGGCTGAAATATTTAAAACTGCATTGTCTGGATGTGCCAAAGACCTAAATAAAGAAATGCAGCTGCAGCCAAAACCTAAAAGTATTTCTAGGAAACAAGTCCTCCCATAGGTTACAGGAACTTAGCAGGTCCCTGGTGCATAAGTGTACTGGTGGATTTTAGGCCAATTTAAATCTTTATGGGCTGCTGGCAAGCCCAGTAGCCACAAGAAGTAATAAAATCCATTCAAAGTATAGTTACTAGAAGCAGCTAAAAAAAGAGGATTTTTTAGCTGGAAGCCACTGGACATCATACACAGTCTGAATTTTCAACTACAGACTGACCTGCTCATTGCTATGAAACTTAGTTTCTCCATATTCTCCTTAAGAAAAAGTACATGATTTCATAATTATTAAAACGTATCTGGATTTTTTTTATTGCTTTTCTATTTAGTGTTACTCTTCTGCAGAGCTGTACTTATTAGAAAATGTAATTTATTTCATTATGCTGACTCAAATCTTTTCTTGGAGGAGACTCCCTCTTCCTATAGCATTGTTTCTTTGAAAAAATGACTTTTTACTACCATTTAGTTTTTAACTGAAGTTCTTGAATAGAAATATGGATTTCAGTCTGTATTCAAAATTCTTAATTGTGAAGAAGAATTTGTATGTCTTTTTTAAAAAGGAGTAAGATACACATTAAGACGTTAACACCCTAAAAATACTTCACGTATTTTATAAGCCACATGGTACCGTTCTCACACATACACTGAAAGTGAACCACATCCTCAACACTCTAATATCATTGTGCAAGTCATGTGAACTGCAAGAAGTACTGTGATGATTTTAAGTAATGCCTAATACAAAGCAAACTCATGCGATGAACATCTGGTACAACCTCCTCATGCACTGTCAGCAATAGTTCTTATGCAATTAAGAAACACATACCAGCTAGAGTTCTACTTCCAGTCATCGAAATTCATTTGTTTTCCTTCTAAGCTAGGCATGCAGAGTGTGAAATGCAGAGGGAAAAAAAAAGAAAAAGCTCACTTTACAGGAGCCCTGGCATAGACCTGCAGCCAGTCTGGAATCTCTGCAGTGTGGTAGGGGTTTGCAGGGACGAGGAGAGGCTGGCTTCTCTCGGCTTGCTGCGGCTGGTAAGTCACTGGGGGAGGCTGGTCGTAACGGGGAACGCTGTACAAAGGAAGACAAAGTCCATAACCTCCAAGCAATAACTTAGACATACTGATATCATTAAATTGTTAACATTAATACACAAGTTAATACATGCAAAGGCCGATGATGCAACCACATACAGAGTGTTGCCTCAGCAGGCCTATACTGAGAGCAACTTTCTGTTGCTATTTTTGTGCTTCACTCCCACCACAACTGTAGGTGTTGCTGCCATCTGTTAGCACACTGTAAAATTCACCCTAGACCTATTCACCTACTGGCTGCTACCTGGATACTACAGCAGAACAAAAAATGATACCTGTTTTTAAAAGATGAAAAAGGCAAGTATTGATTCAGCCAAATAATCCACCATTTAATATATTAGAACAAACGTATTCAGGCAGCAGCAGGTAAGAGTTATTCCATTTATAACAAAGGGCATCCTCTTATGTTTACCTTTTGTGTCACATGTTAAAAAACTTTCTCTTCCTGGGTAACAGCAAAATAGATTGAGTAGCAGAAATCAACTGGTAGATTTGGTATATACTAACTTTATTTTACCTTTAATTTATGAGTAGCTAAAATACTGATTTTCATTCTAGAGAAGACATAATTCATGTTTCAGATGGTATGTGCTATTTGTCCAGACAGTCTCCTGGAACATCAGATCAAGTTTCTTTTCAGTCTACAATTCAATTCTGTTCTCAGCAACTTTGTTGTTTTACCAACAGTTGAAAAGAATAGCTGCTTTGTTTTAGTGAGTTAGGAACAATATCCTGTTTCTAAACTTGAGACAGTTACAGATGAGAAAAAAATCCTAACAATTACAACTTCTTCTAAAATCTTAGTCAAGAACCAGCAAAGCTTACTTCTAAAAATAAGAAGTTTTTGGCACGTTATATATGAGACAGACAGTTCCACATTCTTAACTGGATTAGGAAAAAAACAATCACAGAAGACAAGGCAGATGTCTTACCTGGGAGCACAAGGATGTTTATATTGAGCTCTTTTATTGATGTGATCTACATAATACACTCCAAATTCTGCTGACTCAACTCTCTCCCATCCCGGAGGCAGCCCCTCACGCTCGAGTGGATGGCTCCAGTGAGTTGTATTGGTGTTATGATCTATATAGTATTTCCTTCCTCTGATAGTCCAGTCCACTGACCAGCCAGGAGGAAGAGGTAAATCTTCAGAACTATGATTTGTTAAGTTTCCTAGAGATGTAGCAGCAACTCTACCAATGCCTAAAAAAAGGGAAAGCAATGTTTAGGTAAACCGATAATACCCAAGACCAACATCATGTACGAAGTCAACTTCCCCCCCGACCTGAGGCACTCTATGAACTTTGAACAATACCATGGCTTTTATGGTGTATGCACTTGAACGTCAGTAGAAAAGCACGATCAAGTCAAAATAGCTATTCCCTTTTAAGTCTTACTTGTTTCACTCTCCTCCAACTCCAGATACACTAGACAGCTTCTTTCAGAGACAGTTAAAGCATCCTTGCTTTTTCAATTAGAGACATATATTAGCATACATAACAGGGATGAAGCTGTTATTATTGTCTCAATTTGCTGAGCAGAGAGAGCTGACGTAAGATTACAAATGTTGAAGCTTTACATAAATGACAGTTTCTGTTAATATGCTATTACACCTGCATCAAAACTATTTATCTACCAAAAAACCCACAGCTATTTATTTTTCTAGTTACAGTCAGAAATTACAACTATCCAGACAAATCACTGAATACCAACAAAGCTTTTCAGATTAACCCGTCAAGAACAGTAACAGGACCAGGTAAACCAAGAGAGGAGGGACAAGTAAGGTTAGCACTATACTGCGCTGACTGTTTTTACTGAAGTGTGTGCAACCACGGCCAAAAAGTGTCATCAGTAACAAAAGAAAACAGGAAAAGTGGATCCACACAGGATCCTGCACAAGCCCTTTGCTGAACACAGTCATCCTGCGCAGGCTGAAGTTGATGTTGCCATGTCTTCTTTGCTAAAACTACCCACGCTTGTTAGACTAGCTAGTTTATGTGCACTGCTGGGTGGGGCAGTTAGGCCTTCTGAATGCAATCCAGACAAGATTTAGAGACCTTTTGTTCAGAGCGAGTCACAAAATCTCCTCATCTCTTCTCTGCATCTCCTTCCACCCTCTTCCTCCCTCCCACAGGTCTTGGGAGGAAGTATGTTGTCTAGTAGGCTGTACATCTGCTTCTCTACATCTTGCTCTTTTCTAAAACTGAGCACCTCTGCTTCATAATGCTGAAGAGGCACATGAAAAAAAGTAATTTCCAGCTTTTCTTGGTGATGTGGGCTGCACTAGGAGAGGGGCTCCTCCCGCAAGAGAACTAAAGCTTAGGTTAGGTGTATTAGCAGTAGGAGAACTGACAGGAATCAGTAGTTGGTTAAGTTCCCACCTCTGCTCTAGAAACACAGCACATTTAGGATTTATCACTAAATAGCTGATTTAAGAGACTGTTCACTAGCATTTTAAAAGACACGATTTGTTGTAACATACAGTTTTTACATTTTAAAAATTAGCGTGCTGGATGCCGAGAGATGTACCGAAGAAACATAATTCCAATTTCACCTTTTCCTTCCCTCTATATACTATGGATACTTAGGAAGCTAGTTGAAATAAAAGCCATAATAATAATTACAGAAAACTAAAAAAAAAAACCAGAAAAACCCCCAAAAAACCAAAACACCAACCCAAAAAACCACCGCTCAAAACCCCAACCACAAAAAGCAAGTGACATAATCAAGAATTTTGCAGGTCTCTTTCCATTCCTTGGAAGCCTACTCCCTACTGGACGTGCTGGCCCAAATTCAACTCTTTTTAAAATCCTTTTAAAAATAATTACCTTCAGCTACCCACAGTTCTACAGTTAAACAGTCTCTGGCTTTGAAGAAATTCCAATTATCTTTTCATCCCACAATCAAATGCATCTACTCAATCACAGTATTCATCCGAGTTTGTGTGTTACTATTTCCCATAGCCAGAAGAAGGGGTGTGGGAGCCACTTTTTCCACTTTCTTAGAAGTCAGAAAGTGACTCCATAACAAACACCACATTTAGTGACTGAGGAATACACCCCTCTCCTTCTGTTTTTCAGAAATAACATTTTTGTGTGATTATTTTTTGGGAGAGTGGAAGGGAAAGGCAGAGTCTAGCTCATCTAAAGCATACTATCAAAAAGAGTTTTCAGGTGTGGTCATTAACTCAAAAAGACAACAGTAATACTGAAGTAGCAGCAAAATTGTTGTATTTCTCAGGCAATTTCATGCTCTTGTTTGCTGACAAAGGCAAAAGTCCTTCTGAACAATACATACAGAATATAGCATGCTAGTCAAGGGATGTCATCTATTTTAAGCATTAGTTTACCTATAAAATGACACAGACCGAAAACTGGATCGGCTCTCCTTCTAATACAAGATAGCGGTCATCAACAAGAAAATAATGGGAAGGCTCCAAAGCAACTGAATAAATAAAAAATAAATTTTAAGAAATCTCACAAACTTCCTTCTGAGTACCGTTCTTTAAAACGTTTGTGCTTATCTACAAATCTTTTTCTAGCCTTGTCATGTTCTGAACTATTTGGCCTTAAATATTTTCTCTTGCTATAGAAGGTACCTCTTCGTTAGCTTTATAAAGGGAAGCTGATGGCTGTGTTCATGTGATAGCTCCCATCTCTCATTAGGATTAAGCAACCTAGACCTTTACTTCCAGTGAGAAGAAACATCCTAGAGGCTTCCTGACCTTTAGCAGTACTGGGGCAGGGAAACTATTTCAGACCCTAGCTACAGTTATGTCACTGGTTTTGTTTTCATTCCAATGACAAAATACAAACATTTAAGCTTCTTGAAAATACTGCACTTTGGATAAACAAATTCAGTATTTTCTCCAATTAACTGGACCGCTGTGTTGTAATTTCACGTACGTATAAACAGTGACTATTAAATCACCACTACCAGAAGATCTGAACACACAAACTTGACTGGGGGAAAAGAACTTTAACAAAGGCATAAATATATTTTTCTGTTTACTGTTAAAACCAGCACGTCTGTATTTTTCTTGCAGTTCTTCCTACTTAAATTCTAGCATGATTCCAGCAGCAAATACATATGTATTTATTCCTTGGGGTAAAGGTTAATTCCTTCTAAGATTTGGAAGTTCGTATTAAAAGTTGCACACGCCATCCTCTGCACCAGAAGTTCTCTTAAATGCAAAAGCCAGAGAAGACTGGGAGATGGACTCAGGTAGAAAGGAAAACCAAAATCTAATTACACAGAGAAATCACGTAAAAAGCAGGCTAAAAAGCAATGCTGCACCCAATGGAAAGGCAACACTGGCAGTTCTGTGTTTGCACAATCATTTAATTCTAGCTACATGGTTTCTCCCAACGCCAGCTTTTTTTTTTTAAATTTCCAAGGTGCAAAGAACAAAAATAACACCAGACCACAAATACATTATACATTCCTTTTGTCATTTTGACTTCATATATGAAGAAGCAGAGCCATACCATTAAGATAAACTCACACAGCTGTAGCAGTTACCAGTTTTGAACAGTGTTCTAGGCCTCTACAACTAGCAAGCTCTCATTATGAAATCAAAGGCCAGATTTATAAACAAACAGTTGCAAATACTTTAGTTGCAGACTATCATGTATAGTCTTAACATGAATTTGTCCCCTTAAAATCACAGATCATATTGGAATATTCTGTGTGCTGGAAGTTTTAAGATGTCAGGTAATACTCACAGTGTCTTACAACCATCAACACACTATGGCATTCAAATTGGCAATTAGTACAATTTAGACGTTTGTTTATATAACTAGAGTTACTAGAGATCAAAAGAAATTGTATATCGGTTTTCTTATAAAACTCAGCAGATGCTTCCTTCAAGGGAGAGTGGATACACATGTAAGAGAAATAGCTATGATTTTGAACAGTAACAGAAGATGAAAATTGACTTTCACATATATAGACCTATAGTATCAATAATAAGACTGTACAACACTTCAAAGAGTAAATTCATATGTGATCTTTTCCAAAGTATAAACCAAAGAAGAAAGTTACAAGACAGACTAAAACCACCTACTGTGAACACTACCTTTTCTGGTTGTATTGCCCAAGTATGATACTCTTCTGTGTTTAAATTTCAGGTAAGTTCTTAGCCCTAAAGCATTTTCATAGCAGCCCAAAGCTTCACGTAGGATTTTACTGCACACACCAAGGATACTCCATGAATCACGGGCTGGTACCAGATTCACATAGCACAATGCAAAATATCTACAGAAAATAGCCCAAACTTACAACTTGAACCATTTTTATCAAAACATCTAGTGTAAAACCTGTGTTCTTCCTCTTGATGGAGGACATGACCTTTACCATAGGATAAGCAAAAACAGACTAGTCGAACCCCTTCACTGTAACTACTCAGGGTTTTCTTGCTCACATACTGTTTTATCTATGACAAGACAGAAATTCTCATTCTTCCTGCTTTCCCAAGGAATAGAGTTGTTTAAATTATCTGCTTTTTCCAAATGTTAAAAGTCTCCTTTCCTCTGCTTAAGTATGAGCGCTGTTCTTTATAAACTCCCCTGAGTGACACTATTAAATCTCAAAAATGGCCAACAATGAATTTAAGTTTATGCAATTGTAAATCCTTTTCAGGTTGCCTCTTTGGAACTCGTCTAGCCTCATTTGTTAATTCTCTTTCCTAACGGTATATGCTTGGGGTATTTTTTGGTTCGGCTGTTGCTTTTAAGGAACATCAGTATCGAACATTATTTGTGGCTTTGCTTTCTCCTTCTCTTGTAAAATATAGTATCTTCAATTTAAGATCTTGAATTAACTGTCAACCAGGCCAAGAGTCATGATATGCTGTTCCAAAGCAAAAGAAAATCCTGTTCAATGCAGTTTGCTTGCTTAGGAGTATCACTGTGTATGTTCTCAACACTTTGAAAAAAGAAAGTGCAAAGGATCAGCAACTACTTATTACTAGTATTAACAACATTTAAAACACTCAAGAGTTTTAAGTAAGGCCAGGCCCTATATTCAGTCTTATTCTCAACACCCTCAACAATAGGGTTATTGATCCTAATACCAGAACCCAAACTTAAACTTTGAGCACCACATTCCAGTGCATTATAAGACACCAGTGCAAAGAGTTCCTTTATTTAATATTCTTCTCTTAAAAACGTATCTTAAGCTAATAACGTCACAAATGTGAAAAATATATAGTATCTTCTTCAATCAAGGAAATTGTGTTTGGCTTGTTCCATTAGTATGGAACAAAGAAAATCGTTAAGTGATATGTGTTAATGCTTTCACAGCCCAATGAAGGGGTTTTATTGTAAAGCCACTCTGCCTGGAATGAAGTCCAAGTTCTTAGGAGGAAAGGTTTCCAGGTCAACAAAGGGCAGTTCTTCAGTCTGCCTGGTAGAAAGCACAGGAGAAAAATCGTATCACCAGAGCAGCCCAGCATGAAAGGAAAAGAGCAAAAACACTGAAGAGGAAGTCTCACTTTGTTTATTAGATATAGTGCTGATGTAGGCAGAGAAGTTTCAGAGCCTATGAACTCCCCACAACTAGCTTCAACCAAATTTCAAAGTGTTGAAGAACAAATCTAGCCAAACAAAAGACCTTCATATTTGTCTTTAATTAGGTCAATTGCCTTGAGAGCCTTTTTTCAGGATGCCAAAAATCCTCTCCCTTCCCTTCATCGAACAGGGATGAAGAACAAGAAGAGAAGATGAACGAATGTTTAATTTTAGGGGAGTAAGTAATAATAAAATGGCAAAAAGAAGTTCCAGCAACTATCCTGTTCAGATAGCAGGTTCTAGGCCTTCCTAACCCATTCCAAAGCATCTGAAGGTACTTCCTGAGCACAAGTACCTCGTTTGTCAGAGGGAATGGGGCGTTCCAAGTAAGCATAAATTCACAAATGAGAAAAGACAGGAAGTACTTTGAAAGCTTCGGAAAGTATGCTACAAAGAAATTACTGCAAAATCAGCACAAAAGAAGAAAAAGCCAGGAATTGCCATTTGCTTAAAAATGAGTGAAGCGTACACACCTAAAAAGAAAAGCCCTGCTACTTCAGCTCTAAATAGGTTTCGTTTAATAATCTGTATTTCTTTATTTTGCTCTTATATTAAACATGAATACTAGTTTGCAATTTTTAAGGGGTACAATTTAACACAAGATGAACCTACTTTCACTAAAGCGCACTGGATTCTCTGTTCACAGGATTAATCATTTTTGTCCTCTGACATCACAGTCAACTGCTGACAATCCACCATCAGAAAGGCCCTTTACACTGTGATTTTAATCTCAGCAATTTTCATATACACATAAGAATTTTTCAGCTTACCGCTCAAACAGGTACAAATAACTCTGAGGTCTTGGTTACAAGTTAGTTCCAATCTATACTGTAGATATAACTTCAACCACAGACCTCCCCAAACCTTTAACCTAGAAGAGAGGAAAGAGATGTCGAGGAAAGACAGGTAAAGTCTCTTAGAATTAAGTTTGAAATGGACACTAAAAAAAATTTTCAAGAAATGCCACAGAGGTAGCTAAACATACAAAACTAGGAAATATCTCAACTGAAGACATTTTTCAGGAAAACCAGCAGCACTAGATTGCTAATTAAAAACAAATCTAATGAAAATAAGAAAAGGAGGACATGGTGGAGTTGAATCATGCCAAGAGAGAAAACATGACTTCAAGGAGAAATGCCTATGAAAGAACATATCAATACTGTCAACTCAACTGTTGAAAAATCATGGGACTTTCTTAAATACTTTGCTGAATACTTTGAGTATGAAGATCTCCATAAGAACATGTTTTCAACTTATCTCCAAAATAATAAAGAGGAGAATCTTTATTTTGAATGAAAGCTGAAATTCACATGCATCTCTTCACTTCCAGACCACTGCTTCTCAAAAGTCATCTCAGTTGTAACCAACACTGAATGAAACATCACTCACCAACAGCAAGTACACCTTGTGTGCATCAGGTGACATTTCTGTAGCAATCAACCCAAACCATAATAGAACCAAATGAGGGGACCTTCTGACAGAGGGTGGGAGAGGAGGAAAAGGGTAGAAGGCAGCACTTACAGATTCTAGCTAATAAACAGACTTATACGTTGAAACCGTAGGTATTAGGCAATTTTGTCATCGATTGTCCTGATGAAGAATTTTGATTAGGTGAAACATTTAGAAACAACAATGGAGACGTGTAAGGAAAAAGTAATTTAGACAAAGACAATGAAAGCAAAACACCTGCCTCAGTGTTCTGGAAATGCAGGAAAAAAGGAACTAGAAATTACAGAAAGATCAGGGAAGCTCAAGGAAAACACTGAAGGTTTGAAGACAATGGATGGTTCAAATAAAAAGCAGCTTAATGGTGAGATGAAAGAAGTAGGAAAATCTAAAGTTTTCTTATTTTTGGCCACATAATTCTTTTACTGAGAAAAAGTAACAGCAATTCTTGAAAAGATGTACAGAAGTTAAGGACATAGGTCAATATTCTTACTGCAGTGAAACTGAAAGAGGTGTTTAAGAGTTCATATTCCATGCTGAGATGAAAGAAAAAAAAAATAGATCAAAAGGGAAACACATTGGCAGACCTTTTTTTGTCTCTCCCTACAAATGCGTAAGACTGAATACTCACCCGTTACAATATATGCATAGAATGTGTTCAAACTATTAAATGTAAAAATATGAGAGTGAATGACAAAGACCAACCAAATATCAGCAGCTCCCTTATATGATTTCCAGGGGCTAAGGGGCCATATAGACAAACGGGGGGAAAAAAAGTCTTTTTAGAAAGAAATCCATGTTGCTACAATTGAGAAAAATATGGCTGTCAAGCCCTACTTTTAGCTTGTTTTAAAAATTTGCTAGATTAAACTCCACTTTCAAAGTAATAGCTAGAGCTCCATTTCCACTTAACATTGTTTCAACCCTACACAGCAGCATTACCATTTTTTGAAGTCTTCCTCAGCATACACAGTTACTGTAGTAATTCTGAGTGTTAAATTGATGGATTGGTTTATGAAATCCTCCTCTCTTCCCTACCATATCCCAGCTCACACTAACAGGTGCTTGTTATCTGGACCAAGTAAATGTTTAATGACTGCCGGCTAAACAACAACTGACAGAGGTGGAAGGCTTCCATGCAAAATCTAGGTAGATCAGATGTATAAACGAGGATAAAGTAGCAAGTCTTACACCTTAGTATTTCAGAATTTACTGGCTGACAGCACTAACGCTAGCATTACTCTTCTGTCACTTTTCATTGAAAAGTTTCTGTTGTAAAAAACCTCACAAAGCATTGTCCAGTTATAATTCCATACACAACGTCAGCAGCTTTAAATGTTGACGTTCCTCCTAGCAGATTTATTTTTCCAGACAGGAGATTTATTTTACTACAGACTATTTACTATTTTGTTTACAGATTACAAGTAATGACAAACTAACAACGTATTTCATATTGAAGGTACATTATTTACAGGTTTGAAATGTTTATTTCAAACTCCTCCTTGAACATCGTTTCCGTAGTAGATACAGTGCTCGAATACAGCCAAACTTACTACTTTTAAGGTCACCTTTCTATGGGCAATATTGTAATCCCAGGCTTTTTATTCCACCAATAGATTCACAACAGCACGCTGCACCAACGAATTATTCTTCAGTGTCATCACAGATATAGTAAAATATTTCAAAAAGTAATATTTAATAGATTCTTCTTTCTTATGCTGTTCTTCCATTAGAAAACAAAGACAAGTTCCAGGGAATTTGAAGGGGAAAGAGGCATATTTACAAATGATATTACAAGCTAAAAGAAAAAAAAAAAAATCAAGGACTAGGAAGTCAATTTCAGCACTAACTATATGTCAATTTGCTAATTACACAAAGCAGTCATCCCTCCCTTTGACTATTTATAATAAATTATTTTAATTATTGAGGTCAAATTAACACAATAAAATTAAATAATAACACAATGATAGTTAAAATATAATAAAATAAAATGGCAATGCTATAATTTAGAGCTGTTGGTTATTCTCTACATCATGAAAATAGCAGATGCCTCCTAACGAATAAAATTCCTTGCTAGTTAGCAACTGAATCAACTTTGTCATAAGGAGTTGCATATATGCTTGGCATTAAAAAAAACTTGCCCAACCTTACCACATTTATTTAATAAATAAATCATGGGTTAAGTATATTTTTTCCTTTCTGGATATATGCAATCAAATTCTTAACTCCAAGAAATGTGAACACGTGTATTCAGATCATAGAAATGTCATTAAAAAGAAGCTGTCCCACACAGCGTAACTCCTAAAAACATGACCCTGATCATCCAGATATACCTCTGCATCTAAAGTCTTATCGAAAGCATATTTAAAAAAACCCAGCAATTAATCAATACTTACCTGAAGTGTGCCTCCCATGATTCTGTGACATCCTCTGGAAAAGATCGCTGTTGTGTTCGTAATACCTGTAGTCCTCATGTACGCGATCATTTAACTGACGTCTCCTCTGGGCATCATAAAAATGATCATAATAATAACAACGGGCACCAGCATCTCCATTTTCCAAAACAGAATTAGCTTCTGTTAAAAAGGACTGGGAGGAAGAGCCATATTCTCTAGGGACATCAGCTAAACTTCTTGCAAGATAGGAAGGTGCAGACAGTCTGTTGCTTTCACGTCTCATTATTTCATGAGGTGGCCTCTGCACTGGAGTTCGAAGGAAACTCTGGTTTCTGGAAACAATTCCATCTCCAGCAGAAGCATATGCAGAAGAAGTTGAGTCAGGAGGACAGATATCAGTTCGTCTTGGAATGGTTGGACCGTGACGGATAAATGAAGGCATCAGATCTGATATACAGCATGAAAGAGAAATAAGAACTTTGGCTGTACTTACATATAAAGCATTTGGCCAGCCACAATGCTGATTTACACCATGGAATTGAGGAAATTCAAATGCTAGAACCCCTTTAAGGCACCTCTAATGCATATGCAAGTGTAATGGTAATACTGCAGTTTGTACTGGTGCAACAGAAACCATCACACCCTCCACCAGCAACAAACTATTGCCAAAAGAGTGCAGTTTTGCCAGTGTAACTGCATCCACAATAAACAAAAAAAACCCAAACCCAAAACCCATCAAAAAACACACAAAAAACCACCCCAAAACCACCCCACACTGTACTGTGGCTACATCAGCCAGGCTTCATACCTCTCTACTAGAAGGGTCAAGAAAATCCAAGTATCCTGGCTACCACTCTACCACTTCATCAGGACCACTGCCTTTACGAACTCAGAATAACTGAAGATGTTAATGCCTACTTGCTCACAGGAATCCATGACAGAATCAGGAACAGAATTCATACTTTCTCCACTAATCACAAAGTTCAGCCAGCAAAATGCTGTTATTCTGCACACGTTAAGTTCTCAAATTATCGTGAAGATACTTCACTTTCTCCTTTACCTAAAGAGGTTTTGCACATGAACGGTGACACCTAATCATAAAATTTCACTGCCTCCCTCCAGTAAGCGACACATTACTCCTCTTCTTACTACTTTGAACATGATATAAGTAAGTAGTTTCCCTCCAGGTGAGCTAATAGAAACTATGACTTTAATTTAGGAGGAGGTTATGTCTGTTGTTAATTACTTTTGATTAACAAACTCTTATAACTTAGGGTAAAAATTCAGTGTATCCCAGAAGGTGTCATCAGTAAATTTATAATCATTACATAGCAGTCATGTAATAGCTAGTCATTACATCATGGGCGAATAGCATGTGCAAAAGGTGTTAACCCCTTACACAGGCCTACAGCTTAATATGAAAAAACTTTGTGGGTTTTGTGTTGTGTTTTTTTTATTTTTAAGACTAAATCAATGTAATCAGACTACTAAATGATTTTGCCTGTTGACTGGGGAACCAGCTGTTCATGCAGCAAATCCTTCCAGAAAAGCTGAGTGCCTCCTCCTGCCAGCAAATCAGTTGTTGCTAGTTGTGATCTCCAAGCTAATCCTGCAATTATAGCATAATACGTTTCAGTCTCAGGTCGTTTCCAAAGATTAACAAAAAGAAACCTAAGTGCACTTTCAATGTGTATTTGCCAGTCTTCTGTAAAGTCCTAGCAGAAACAGGACTGTGACATTAGCGTCAGGTTAACCACACGAAGATCAGTGCATCCAAGGTACATAGCGGTGACCTCATCAAGTTGATTCATGGTTTAGAACTGGAGCACTTGCTTCCGCAGGGATTTTATGCAACTGTCTTGTACAGTTATCTCATTTTCAAAGCACACACCTTTTGGCAGTGCACACAGCCTAGATGGGGAAAAAAACTGCTGACTTCTGGAAAAGAGAGAAATTATCTGTTCCGTTCACCTGGAAGATACCTGTTTGGAGACTATCTTAACCCCTACCTGTTGAAAACTGAGCTACAGCGGCTGAGGAAATAAAAAAACCCCAAGTTTGTTTATCGTGAGCACCCCGTGGTACACTATGTGTAGGGCTCCCTTTTAAATTCAGCCTCCCTTACAGGTTTAACCTCCCTCCCTCCCTCAGCTGCCAGGTCTCCCAAC